GAGAGAGAGAGAGAGAATGCTGAGAAAAAGCTGTAAGATTACAGCCATTATTAGGAAAAGATTTATTTGTTATTTTTCCTACATCTAGTATATTTTATATCCAAAGATAAAAAGACATTTTTCTGAATAATCAATCGAAGAGAAGTGATGGAAATAGCCAGTCATCTCGGTCCATTTGCGAATGTTAGTGGGCCACGAATGAAAAATGTGCTGGCCATTCTTACTTGCACGTCATAATGGACGCGTTTGGATGCACATGTGGAAAACATTCCCGACCATTTCCTCGGAGCGAATATAACGGTAGGGAATTCGCTGCTGGTTGGTACGAAAGAATTATTATGCGAAAAGTTTCCGTGTTCCTCGTTTCTTCCCTGATGGACGATTAAAAGTTCCATCCGAGTCGAATTTACAAATTCCTCCGGGGGCTTCTTCGCCGGGGCATCGGCATTAGAATTTGCTGCCGTCCAGCGAAATTAACCAGCCCAAGTTGCTCGAGTAGGATTAGAATTTAAATCCGTGGAAATCGTCCGCGTCTAATTGTCTTCTTTCCTTCCATCGCGATTAAGCGTCAAGGACCTTTGATGCGAATATTTTTTTATATCGCTTTCGGTTCGGTAACATATGACAGATCTTAGATGTAATTTCAAACAAAATGGCAATATAAATAAATGTTAAGAAAACTAGTGCTTTCCATTTATTTAAAAACTCTCGTAAACTAATTCATAATGTTACAGAAATATTTTTTTCATTTGTTCAGAAAAAGAGACAAAAAAATTACATTCTAAAACATAGTTATTTGTGAAAAGAGTCAACAATATAAATGACAGATAGAAACGAAGTTATTGCTTATTGCTCACTTTCTTAATTCTGATAAGAAAAGAAAGAGAAACTTAAATCTTATGAGGTCACATCAACAAATAACCGATATTTATTTAAAAAAAAATGTTTCATACAAAAGTTCTAGAATTTCGAAAAAGCCACATGGGGCTTTTTAAAATTACTTTTGTAGATATTTAAGAGATCCGGGACTTTTAGTACACTCTGTATAATTTAATCATCCTCTAGTAAATACAATGTACGTTATATTAATGTTAGAATTTCCTATCCAG